TTTTTATTTCTTAAGATCATGTAATTCTCTCCTTTAATATATTAATTGTGGCATTAATATAGTTCTGAATATTGAAGCATCTTTGCTTAGATAGGATAAACCTTATTTAAAACTTACTTTTATTTTTGGTTAAACTCATATCCTTATTAAGAGATCCTTACCTTTGCATTGTGGAATATTTTATGAAAAAGAAGCTAAGCTCTGTTTCTTTAAATGTGAGCTTAACTGAATTGGTACATGTTGTAGAGTTAGAAACATGATCATATTTTCAACTTTTTAAGTTTTACAGATTTATTCAGATTTTTTACCTTTTGAGTTTATGTTTGTGATTTATATATGTATTTAAAAATGATTTTATTTAGATTTTCAAATTTATTTGCATAAAATTGTAGATAGCATTTTTAGTTACTTTCATGTCTATAGTATGTTACTTCTCTCGTTGCAGTGTTTATTTATATCTTCACTGTTTTTTCTGGATGGGACTTGCCTAGAGCTTTATCTCTTTTATTGATCTTTTCAAAGAACTAGAACTAGTAGTCAGACTGTGGTTTTATTATTAACTCTGTTGTTTATTTCACTATTTCTTTATGACTTTGTCATTATTAATTTATTCCTTCTATTTTCTTTGACTTTATTTTCATTAGTTTACTTTTTTCTGTCTTGTTAGTTTTCACATACACATTTAAATGAAAAAGTTTCTTGTGTACTACCAGCGTTTTGTTCCACAGATTTTGATCTGTTGACCTTGTCTTTTAGATGTGATTTCTTTTTTAACCTATAAGTTACTTAGGTGGCTGTTGTTATTTTCCAGGAAATAAATGATACTAAAGGCTGGAAACGTAGGGGGAAGTGAGGAGTACGGAGAGATTTACTAAAGGATATAAAATTTCAGCTAGATAGGAAGAATAAATCCTAGTGTTCTACACCACTGTAGAATGACTAGTTAATAATATTTCTTATAATTTCAAATAGATAGAAAGAGGATATTGAGTGTTCCCAACACACACACAAAAATGACAATGTTTGTGGTCATGGTTTTGCTAATTACCTCAATCTGATCACTGTACATAATATGTATCCTAGGAATATGTACAATTATTGTGAATTTAAAAAATAAAGAACAAAAATTTTCAAGGTGAATGATTTTTGAGTAGTTATTTTAATACTCTTTCAACTGGAAAGAAATACACTTAAAAGGCTAATGATGGTTGTATCTGTGTGGTAGAATAAGTATTTTCAAGGATAACTAAAATGAACATGCATTTCTTATTATTAGAAAAGTTAGAAATAGTTATAAAACTATTTTCATAAAGCTGTTATACTTAGGTCTGAGGAAGTTTGAAGATACTAACATTGATGAAAAAAAAAAAACCCTTCTCTCCCTCCTTGCACTTTCTACCCTACTCTTTTTATCCTTTAGGATTGAACAGTTACGTTTGAATGTAGGGTAAGTTATTAGAGGAGAATATAGAAATTATTATGTATTAGTGTATTGCATTAAGTCTATATCTTTATAGTTAATTTTAAAAGTGTATAGGATTTGCCTGGGGTATAATTTATGGAGCTTATAAATAAATATCCATTTAGGAGACAGTGTTAATAGACTTATTACAGTGAGCATTTATCAAGCATCTTTTGTATAAAAGGTTTTATGGGACTCTTAACAGATGAGTAAGCCATCATCTTTTCCCTCATGGTCCCTGGTTTAGAAAATAGCCATGTAAGCCATTAATATGTGCAAGACAGACTGAAATGTACTAAACTGAGTGGAGGTGTTATATGAAGGAACAAGGAAGAGTGATATGAGCTGAACTTTAAAGAGTAAGAATTTCAGTAGGTGGAAAATGGCATTCTAGACTGATAATTACACTGATAATGATACTTACTCATGATAGTACATGATATTGTTGAGCAATGTAGAAAAACTAACATGGATGGTGTGTTCATGGAGAGCCGAAACATGAAATGTTTCTAAGATGTTGACTTGTTCAGAATTGTAGATGACAAAATTAAGTTTCTTGGGTAATTATAAGTAAAGTAAATCCCTATAAACTCTATGCAAATGGAAGTTTCTATATTATAAATAAGGATATAAATGCCTTAAATTATTATTGAAATGAGCATGTTGAAGTCCAGCTTTTTAATTGAAATCATTAGTATGTTAATATAAGTGTTTGGACCTGTCTTTAGGGGCACTAAGACCTGGAAATGGCCCTGAAATTTTATTGGGTCAGGGACCTCCTCAGCAGCCACCACAGCAGCATAGAGTACTCCAGCAACTGCAACAGGGAGATTGGAGATTACAGCAACTTCATTTACAGCATCGTCATCCTCACCAGCAGCAGCAGCAGCAACACCACCACCACCACCACCTACTTCAGGATGCTTATATGCAGCAGGTAATTTTTTTTGTTTCTTTAAATATGGAAGTAGTATCAAATTGATGCAGCAAATTGAATATCAGTGAATTCCTTTTTGTATCATGGGCGCCTTGAACTCTAGATTCAAGTAAACACTTTTTCCAGTTTTCTGATTATGAAAGAATATATATTTAATTTCCAATCAGTGAGATACTTAAGAGTACTCTAAAATAGGCTGCATTGTGACCTTATGAAGAAAAGAGTGTTCATCTGAAACATTTAGTATTCACAAGTAAGCAAGGCAGTTTATAATGACTGTTATCTGAGGTTACGTTTTGAGTTCACAGACGAATAATGCTACTGTTGGAAAGGTGATAATAGGCTTTTCAGAAGTAACGGTGTCTTAGATTTTGTCACCCTCCTGGTTTTGGCTGATAGATCCAGAGTGGAGGGTAGTGAATAGTTAGGACCATGAGATGCCCAGAGCCACTGAAGGGGAGATAAGAGGAGCGTGTAGATTTAGCGTAATGGTCTTGTTAGAGGTCAGTTCAGGGGTCTTTATCTTCTAGGAAAAGGTGTTAAATGTGTTTCGGTAGCTTTCTTCTAAACATCCTTGAATTGCGCTAAAAATGGTTTTAATTGAATCTGTTATGTTGTGATAATTTTGAAACCAATTCTGATAAGGCTATTAATAAATTATAGAAATTTAGAGTGTAGCTATTTTGTATTGATGTTTAGACTACTGATTTCTCAAATCATTATTATGGTAAAATCAATACTTTTAAAAAGGGCTCTGTCACAATAAAGGCATGAATAGCATTTATGATTGTTTGTTTTCTCATTGTAGTATCAACATGCAACACAGCAGCAACAGATGCTTCAACAACAGTTTTTAATGCATTCGGTATATCAGCCACAGCCTTCTGCATCGCAGTATCCTACAATGGTAACTGTTAAATAATTTCTAGAGATTTCTCTGAGTATACATTATGGTGTTGGAATTCACAGTATGAATGGTATTATTCAGAACTTAATAATTCAAAATCAATTTGAGTAAGTTAATTGACATGTATTTTATCAAAGACAGTCATATATTCTCAAGCAGCTTTAAATTGCACTGAACTATGCACCTGCATATGGCACATGGCAACTGACCGATAACATACTTCTCTTATGTCATTTTGTAAGGGAAATGATGTCTTACCTATAGTCTTTTGTCACACATATCTCTTTCATTCAGCAAATACCTATTGAGTAAAAAAATGAAACCCAAAAGGAGAGTGCATCTGCTTCAGAGAATTATTTGACCTTTTTTACAGCAACGAATATATTAATGACTTTAAGCTACTCTTTTTCTTAAAATATTTAAAGGAGGATTTTTGATTCTGGCCAAGTGAGCTTAGCTTCACAACTTTTCAAAGAGATTTATTTTGTCTTGCTGTAGTTTTCTAGTAATAGAGCTGCTCCTGCAGATCATTGTTTTTTAGGTTTCTGATTTTGTCACCAATGTGAAAGGAAGGAACATAGTAAATAGATGCAATGCTGACAGTGCTTTAGGACTGGAGCATTGTTTTGTATAATATTTCTTTTTTCAGATGCAGCAGTATCAGCAGGCTTTCTTTCAACAGCAGATGCTAGCTCAACATCAGCCGTCTCAACAACAGGCATCACCTGAATATCTTACCTCCCCTCAAGAGTTCTCACCAGCCTTAGTTTCCTACACTTCATCACTTCCAGCTCAGGTTGGAACCATAATGGACTCCTCCTATAGTGCCAATAGGCAAGTATTTTTCTAGTGAAAGCAAAGGAAATTATTGTGGAAGTGGAAGTCATTGTTGAATGGTTGGTCATTAAGTTCTCTTAAATTAGTTTATAATTCATCTTTCTGTAGAGCCACCCATTTTCTCTTCCTAGTCCTGTCTTCTGGTCCCTTGGTATCCCCATCCTTCCATTTCCTCAGTTAATTCTGCCAACTGCTATTTGTAGGTAAGGCGTAGCGACATCTAACAACATTTAGGGCTAAGGGTATTATTGGCTTGTATGTAAAAGCATTTTTTTGTAATGTAAGTAGAAGCAACACCCTAACAAGTGACTTTAGGTATTTGAAAAAAAATCCTTATAGACTTTTGCTACTTACATGTTATTACCTTGAATTAGTTTGACTGTTTATTCATAAAGATTATATAATTTAGTTTAAATAGATACAAACATTTTTACATATATATTTTTAGGATGGTATACAGTAAACATACTGTTACCATAACATAGTTGGGAACTGTATAATTTGGATATTTAGATATATTGGTTAGTAGAGTTATAAATTAAATAACTTTGGTACAAATTTTCTTAAACTTAGATATAAAGCGGCAGGTGCTTTGGCATCTTGTAATTAAGAATCATCATGAAAATCTCCTAATGTTTATAGATACCTAGGAGGTAGGAGCTGTTAGACTTTTGTTACAGGAACATTAAAGAAGATCTCCTACAATGCTATTTAAGGATTTGAAACATTAGCTGAGAAAAGGTGTCTATAAGCTTTGGCTCAGAGTTGAGCATGAGAAACAGCAGCATCAGTAGCATACTTGTACACTGCATCTCAGAAGAGAGCTAAAGTATGCAGTTTGCTACAGAACACCTCCCCACCTCTGTGTGTGTGTGTGTGTGTGTGTGTGTGTGTGTGCGCGCGCGCGCCAATGCAAGAGACAGATCACCAGTGGGGCAGGTATGGTAGGGAGGAGAAGACAGAGAGAAACACGAACCGATTCCTTGAACTGCTTTTCTAAAGGAAGAATTCAGGTGCATGAATTAGCACCGTTTTGTCTAAGGAGAGAGCACAGTATATGGCCAAAGGCCAGTTTAAAGATCCAAATCAGGCTGGGCACGGTGGCTCACTCCTGTAATCTCAGCACTTTGGGAGGCCAAGGTGGGTGGATCATGAGGTCAGGAGATCGAGACCATCCTCACCAACATGATGAAACCCTGTCTCTACTAAAAATACAAAAATTTGCTGGATGTGATGATGCATGCCTGTAATGTCAGCTACTTGGGAGGCTGAGGCAGGAGAATGGCTTGAACCCAGGAGGCAGAGATTGCAGTAAGACAAGATTGTGCCACTGCATTCCAGCCTGGCAACAGAGTGAGACTCCATCTCAAAAAAAAAAAAAAAAAAGAAAGGTCCAGATCAGTATTTGCCAAACTCTTTGTCATTTATGTACTCTGGTTACAATTTTTTGCTTTATTCACATAGTGCTTTTTTTCTTTAATAAATTAGTAACATTATTGTATATAATAAAATTAAAACATACATTTTAGACAAATCAGATCCACTAAAATATAAACTATGAAATGTAAATAGTAATAAATTTGCTAAGTCCACTAGTGACATAAGTAGAATAATTTTCCTCATTAAAAATAGGATATTCTGCTTGGTATTGCTTCGTTTAAGATGCTGATGAGGCTATTGTATTAATTAGACGATTGCTTTTTTCCACTTCTGATGCTAACTAGCATCAAAAGTGTCAAATCTAGTGTATTTAGTTGGAAAGTAGAAAATATGTTAAACTGTCTTCTCTCACACAGCATATATATTGTTTATACTTTGTATTCTAAAAGGCTATCAGCTTCTGGAAGCAAAGTTATGTCACTGATAAGAATGGATGATCATGAATTGGAAATCTGTCTAAACTTCTGATAAATTACAAAGAAAGTTGGATATCCAAGGATTAGAGGCATACACTGCAAGGTGCTGATGCCTGTAATGTATATTAATTACTATAGCACTGCCTGTTTTATTCTGATTTGTAGTGATACTGTTCAACAGATTACAGGTTTGATACATTAGATACTTCTAATTTCTGTGTAACTATTAAAAAATAATTTATTAAAAAAATAATCTTGCATTCCCCAGGTTAGGAAATATTGGGTTGCGTATCTGGGAAAGTGCATAAGACTTGTTTTACTCCACACCTGTGAAATTATGTATTTAAGGATATGGTAGAAAAAATTATATACTCAGCCACTAAAGGTTAGAAATGTGGAACGTCATGTGGGAACACTGCTCCAGCCACACTTGGTGCCTCAGTGCTGCTTCATTAATATTATATCTATTTAATATTAGATTGTATGTTGAGTATAATATCTTCCATAACAATTTACAAAGAACTCTAACTAATGTTCCTGCTTATGCCTAGTCAGTGGAAGAAGAGAATTGGGGTTAAATGTTTGTCTGTAAGTGGATAAGGGCTATTTGAGTAGAATATAGGAAGCCAAGTAGTTCATTAGATAGAGGGGAAGAGTCACTATCTTTGTTGGAATGATTTATTTTTCTCTTTTCCACTATCTTTTGCTAAACTTTCTACTCTTTTACCATGTTATCTTTAGTATGAATATCAGAGAGTATTATTGTTTCTTATATTCCAATAATAATTAAAATAAACATCATCTATGCATACATTATGTTCTTATGATATAATTGCCCTGTTATATTAGTTATCTGTTGATGCCTAATAAATTATCCCAAAACTTAATGGTTTAAAACAGCAGTAAACATTTATTATCTTACATACTTTCTTTGGATCAGAAATTTAGGAGTGACTTAGCAGGGTAGTTATGTCTGGTAAGGCTGGGTTGGCTGTCCTCTGAAGGCTTGGCTGGTGCTAAAGAATGTATTTACAAGGTAGTTCACTCACATCGCTTTGGGCAGGAGGCTTCAGTTCCCTGCCACATGGATTTCTCCAAAAGACTGCTTGAGTTTTCTCTTTGAAAAGGCAAAGATGATTTTGAACAAGGAATTATTGATTCTGGTTTCTCCCTCAGTCAGTGATCCAAGAGACAGTGTGGGGAGGAATCCAAAATGTCTTTTTAGACCCAATCTCGGCAGTCATGAGCTGCCACTTGTTCCATATTTTATTTGTTAGAATTGAGTCACTAGATCTAGCTCATGTTCAAGGGCAGTGAAATTCGGTTTCACCCTTTGAAGGGAGGAACGCCAGATAACTTGTAGACATATTTTAATATCTGTTTAAACTAGATTAAGGTGACACTCTATTGAGTTACAGTCTGCCAGTGAGAACCCATAAATTCATTTTGGGAATAGGAAGAGGGTGATTCATGTAGGGAATCAGAAAGTTCTGAAAGGAATCATTGACAGACAGGACGGGGAATGCCCATCTCTCTGAGTTTTACCTGCTCTGATCTGTTTTGTTTTTTTCTTCAATACAATTTTCTGGGTAAAAACACATCTGATCTGTGTTTTAAGGACTCTGAAAGTCCTTAAAGGTTGTTTTGGAATTAGAAATGGGACTGTCACATGGAGGCAGGCTCAGACCTTGGCAGTTGACATATCTCCAGAATGGATTTTAATTGAATTGTTTCTTAAATTAAGATACCTAAGTTCTATTTACTAAGCAAGTCTATCTACATGTAGGTAACTTACTATGTTTATTTTCCTCTGTTACATGTTAGCCTTCAGTAAATATTTCAGTAGTCTATTGTTGGCTCAGATATGCTGAAGGGGCTTTGACTAAGGGATTCAATGACTTTTGCCTTTTTCTCCCCTCTTCCAAGACCTGTGTGGTGGCAATGGCACCTTAAGTACAATGAGCTCTCAAGGGTTAGGTAAATTTAGGGAATCAGTTAAGACTTGTGAAATTGAGATACTACTTTGAACACTGGGATTCTCCCTTTATTACTACTGTTAGAGGATTTGGATGTAACTTATGAAAGGAACTTAATAGCGTTCTTAGCTTTCTTACATTGTCTCATTCTTATGCTATACAGCCATACATTGCATAACAATGGGGACATGTTCTGAGAAATTGCATCATAAGATAATTTCATTGTTGTATGAACATCATAGAGTGCATTTACACAAACTTAGTATAGCCTACTACACACACCAAGGCTTTATTATATAGCCTATTGCTCTTGGGCTGCAAACTTGTATAGCATGTTATTGTATTGAGTACTGTAGGCAGTTGTAACACAATGGCATGTATTTTTGTATCTAAACATAGAAAAGGTAGAATAAAAGCATAGTATAAAGGGTAAAAAAAATGGTATACCTGATTAGGGCACTTACCATGAATGGAGCTTGGAGGATTGGAAGTTGCTCTGGGTGGGTCAATGTGTGAGTTGTGAGTCAATGTGAAGGCCTAGGACATTACTGTACTGTATTATAGACTTGACTTTATAAACCCTATATACTTAGGACACACTAAATTTATATAAAATTGTTTCTTCCGTAACAAACCTTAGTTTACTGTGACTTTAAAAATTTTAAAAATGTTTTGACTTTTTGATAATAACAAAACACAAACATGTACAATTGTACAAAAATACTTTCTTTTTATTCTTATTCTGTAATTTTTTTCTAATTTTAATTTTCTTTCTTTTTAAACTTTTTGTTGAAAACAAAGACACAAACACACACATTAACCCGAGCCTACACAGGGTATGGATCGTCAGTATCATTGTCTTCCACCTCCACATCTTGTCTCATTGCAGGTTCTTTAGGGGCAATAACAGGCATGGAGCTGTCATATCCTATGATAACAATGCCTTCTTCTGGAGTACCTCCTAAAGGACCTGAGACTGTTTTACAGTTGACTTTTAAAAAAATAAGTAGAAGGAGAATACTTGAAAATAACTAAAAAAATATATGGTATAGTAAATACATAAAGCAGTAATACAGTCATTTTTTATCAAAAATGTACTGTACACAGTTGTATTGCTGTATTTTTATACAACTGGCAGCCCAGTAGGTATGTTCAAATAAGCATCACCACAAACACATGAGTAATCTGTTGTGCTATGCTGTTAACAATGGCTATGATGTCACTAGGTGAGGAATTTTTAGCTCCATTATAATCTTATGGAACCACCATCATATATGTGGTCCATTGCTGACTGGAAGGTTGTTATGTGGTACATGACTGTATTTCCAGGCTGGGTCGAGGGAGAAGTACACAAGAACTCTTGGGTTAAGAAGTCTTTAGATTCTCATCTTCTCTTAAAAGCCAGGAGCCCTAATTTTCATAGAACCAGTAGTCTCAGGCTCCAAGTCTAGATACTTTAAATGCTATAAATAATTTATTATATACAAAATAACTCTCATTTAACTTTAGCTAATTTATAAAGCAGTCCTAGCAATTCATCTTTCGTTGATAGCTGTTTATAGGGAATACCTTTATCAAAAGGAAAGTTATTGTGTGTCCCAGCATAACCAAGGCATTTGATCACTGTATTCAGTAGTGATTTTAGAGTGATACTGTTTGATAAGGTGACTGGTTTTTACTTTAAGGCTTGTTTACTATGATAATAACTGTTAATATTTATTAAGTGCTTATTTTTTTACTAGATACTGTTGTTTTTGTTTTATGTGTATTATTTAATCTTCTCAGTAACCTTATGAGGTGGATACTATTACTCCTTTTTACAGCAGGCAGTTAAGGAACTCGCCCAAGGGTACACAGCTAGTGTACCTTATGTAGGTGATTATGGAGCTAATATACCTTATGGAGGTCATCTAGATCCCACATGTTCTCTCTCTCTATCTCATGCTCTTGTCTGTCATCTCTGTCACAGTGAAATGATTTGGTTTTGTACGTGTTTATAAAGTATGAACTAGGGCATTATAAATTTTTATTAATTTTAATTTTTCTTTCCATCTTCTTTTTTCTTTCTCAATTATTACTATAGGCCAATTGCTGATAAAGAGGCCATTGCAAATTTCACAAATCAGAAGAACATCAGCAACCCACCTGATATGTCAGGGTGGAATCCTTTTGGAGAGGATAATTTCTCTAAGTTAACAGAAGAGGAACTGTTGGACAGAGAATTTGACCTTCTAAGATCAAGTAAGGGACACTTGAAGGCTTATTTTGCTTCACAGTAAAATAACAGCTCTGTTATTATTCAGCAAGGCCAAAGACTGTTTTGAGATGGTGAATGGAAAATTCTTTTTGTGCATTTGAGGGCAAAATTCAGGCCATCTTCTTATTCAAATACTATCCAATTATGTTGTGTGCATTAGAAATCAGTTGCTTGATAGTAGTTATTAAACCCAATATTGCTGATAGTATGCTAATATCCTAACACTTAAATATTGCATATCTAGGAATGTTAAATTCAGAATATAAAACTGATGTTTCAATAAAAAGGGAACCATTATTATTTTGCCTTGCTAATGATTTTGCAGCACTGTTTTCTTTGCACACCCAATAGAAAATATTGTGGGTCTGAGATGCCCTTTGAAAATGCCTGAAAGAAAACATGGGCTACTACATTATGTTAATGTTTTGTAATGCCCTTTTAATGAGTGGTGACATAAAAGGGCTGCTTTGTTGTCCTGATATGGCAAAAATTAAATAAATTCTTTTTCACTTTAAATCAGATATCTCAATGTTTTATCATTGCTTTTCTTTGAACTACCTAATATATGTCCAGCTTTTCCACACATGTTTTAGAAATGTCTTTTTTTGGAAGAATGATGTGGGTGTTTTCAGTAGGTCACAAAATAGGAGCAAAAAGCTCACTTCTAATGTAAGTAGATAATTTTCAGGTTTCTGAGGCTTGTGTGTGTGCATGTATGTGTGTGTGTGTGCGCGCATGTGCAGGTGTGCACATAAAACACAAGTGTGTTTTCTCCTTTTGCATGTGAAAAGAAGGTCTTACTAGTCCCTAACTTATAGCCCTTAGTTCCTATTTTATTTAGGTAATTGGCCTTATGAGAATGTTTAATAGATGAAACTATCTGTTCTGAATTGGTATATATTTTATGTAAAATTCCTGTAAGAAGACTTGTTTGGGATTTAAATTTGTATTTTACATTTTGGTTACATGATTATGAAAATTAAATTGATGGTTAAATGCAGATATAAATCTAAGTTCTGAGCCTTTAATAAAGGTTTGTTAACTTCAGTAAAACCGATCATATCTTACTAAAACAATTTTTTTTAAACCACAACTTTTTTTGTTTGACATTTTCCTAGAATTTATGTTGAGTAGGCCCAAAAGCAAGGTTTTAAAAAGGAAACAAAGTATCTCTTTCAGAGTGATGGAAGAGGTAGCTACAGGGTATCATCAAATCATTATAATATAGGATTATATTTAAAGCAAAAGATATTGATTTTAATGTGTACTGAGCAGGGTTTGCTAAATTAGTATTTTCAACTCCTTAGGTAAATTATTTAAAAAAAATCAATTTGTGGAATGGGTATTCACATTATTTTGTATCTTATAAAAATGTGTTATTCTCAGCTTTGTAGAATTTATAATGACATCAAAATAGCTTTATTTACTTAGCATAGGCAGGAGTGGCATATGAATATGACTATATGTATATAACTTTATAAAAATTAGGTTGAATGTAAAATTCTTAAGTAGTTATTTTTAAGAATAGCTTAAAACTTCATGATCAGATAATGTATAAATTTTAAACTTCATCATCAGATAACATTTGTAAATTGTGCCTGTATCTTTGTGCACACGTGTATGCCAAAGAGAGTTCAGACTTTCCAGTATTAATTATAGAATGATATTAAGTTCCAAAGGAAAGTGCAAGAAGAATTTTATGTGAAGATTAGACTTGGAGCAAAGTTAGCCATTTGGAAAAACACCTAGATGGTCCATGAGCTACTAAAATTATTGTTACAAGTCTGATGCACTTAATTTGGCACACAGTACCAGAAAACATAAATTTTGATCCCTGACAATGTTACTTAACTAGGTTGTAATCTCAGATAAATCACTCAACTGCTGTCAGTCTCACTTCTGCATTTATAAACTGGGGATAGTGATGCCTGCTTCATAGCGTTGTCCAGATAATGAAATGATGTCTTTAAATCAGGGCACTCAATAAATCAATGCCACTTTCCCTTTCCTTATTTTCTGTGTAAGCCTTTATGTTGTGACTTAAAAGATTTTTTTGGCTTTTAAAAAGCCAGGATTTAAAAATTACACTTAAATTATCAGTTTCTCAGTGGTAATTTAACAGTCTAATTAGAGGGGGCTTTGTAGAGTATTTTAATTTCATGATGATGTTATGGAATATACTTTGATTCTAGGATTTTAAAATCCTGTATTTTTGCTATCTGTATCAACTAAAATTCTTGAGAAAGATACTGTCTTTATTCACCAACATAATTCTTTTGTGAAGACAGGAGGTAAGTTTCTTATATTGGATAATCAAGCTTTGTTCTAATCTAAAGAAAACCAGTCATTTGAAAATGGTAATTAAAAACATTTTAGAGATGACTGTGCATTTTCAAGGTAGCTCTACACCACCATTTCATTAGATTTTATTTATAGGTAATTAATAATTACAAAATTAATATGTGTATTTATTTTGTATTTTGTGTCCTGAGACCCACATTTTGATGTGAACTTTAGAAACCTAAATGATTTTTTAAAAATTCCATTGAAAAGTTGATTCTGTGTTTTGTGGAACAGTAACACTATTCATTTTACTATGAATTTATTCTGATTGCTATTTTGAAATAACTGGATAAATAAACTTTGCATAGAACAGTATCTTCCATATTTTTATTTGTAGGGACCCCTATATAAAAATAAGTTCACCCCTACATGATATTGTTTATAGTTGTGTCATAGTTTCACAGTACTTGTTATATACTTACCGTAAATTTGCCACAAACGGATGCATGTAATACAACAGTGCATGAGGATTCAGGGAATCTTAGTGATAACTTCACAGTTTTATAAGCTAGGAATCATCAATATAGTCGTGGTTTAAATACATGGAGAGGGCCGGGTGTGGTGTTTCATGCCTGTAATCCTCGTACTGTGAAGGTTGAGGTGGGAGGGTCCCTTGAGGCCAGGAGTTCGAAACTAGCACGGGCAATATAGTGAGACATCACGTCTACTAAAAATTAAAAAAAAAAAAATTGGCTGGATGCAGTAGATCACGCCTGTAATCTCAGCACTTTGGGAGGCCGAGATGTACGGCTCACAAGGTCAGGAGATTGAGCCATCCTGGCCAACATGGTAAAACCCTGTCTCTTCTAAACTATAAAAAACTAGCCAGGCGTGGTGGCATGCACCTGTAGTCCTAGCTACTCAGGAGGCTGAAGTAGGAGAATCGCTTGAACCCGGGAGGCAGAGGTTGCAGTGAGCCGAGATTGCACCACTGCACTCCAGCCTGGTGACAAGAGCAAGACTCCATCTCAAAAAAAAAAAAAAAAGCCAAGTGTGGTGGCGTGTGCCTGTAGTCACAGCTACTCTAGAGGCTGAGCCGTAGAGGCAGAGATTGCAGCGAGCCAAGATCATGCCACTGCATTACAGCCCAGGCAACACAGTGAGACTCTGTCTCAAAAACAAACAAAAGTGCACTGAGAGGCTGAGTGTGGTGGCTCATGCCTATAATCTAGTACTTTGAGAGCATTGCTTGAGTCCAGGAGTTAGAGACCAGCCTGGGAAACATAGTGAGAGCTTATCTCTTAAAAATAAATAAATAAATAATTAGCTGAACATGGTAGCCTGTGCCTGTAGTGCCAGCTACTTGGGAGGCTGAGGTTGGAGGATCACTTGAACCTGAGAGGTTGAGGCCAGGGTGAGCCATGATCATGCCATTGTACTCTAGACTGGGTGAAAGAGTGAGACCCTGCCTCAAAGCATAAAACAAAACAAAATAAAAATAAAAAGTATATAAAAATGCAGATTCTTAAATTATTACTTAGGTAACTTGATTCATCAGGTCTGTGGTAGGGTCCAGATAACTACATTTTATAGAGGAATCCTAGCACTTTTGATGCAGATGGTTGAGGCAGAAAGTCTGTTTCTAATTCAGACTTAAATACTTACACTCTTGGTCTTAATTTTCAAGAATGAGGGCCCGTGGATATTGACATGCTGTTGTTATCACTCTAGTCTGTCTCTTCCATTTGTTCTTCCTCACGCCCTCTTTTCTCTGTCCTCAGTGCTTTATACACTGGAGTTTGGGAAATGGAGAAGGGTAGGGGAGTCCAGGATACAAGGCATTCCTGGTTTTACAGTTACTCCATAAATGCATTCAGGGCCCGAATAAATAGGTAACCACATGTAATCTCTATGATTCAGTGAATCATAAGCCTCTCCTTGAAGTTTGATCGCAGCCTCCCACCACAATAAGTTAGGGACCCTTCATTATATAAATTATTCTTCAACCTTTTGCAGAAAGATGTTATAGGACTAGCTTCTCCTTAATAGGTGTTTTGAAACAAAATAATAAAAAATCTTTAGTAAAATGAGCATTTGTTACTGATTTCCTGCATTAAGTATACAGTTAATATCTCGAAAAATAATACCCAAAATAAATTTTTATTGTTAAGCAGTGCAGTGTTGGATTTGAAAAGGAGCACTTGAGTTTAGGAAGTTTTGTTTGTTCATAATTCAATTGTCAGATTTATTTACTAACTCAATATTAGTGCCTCAACAAAATGTTTAATAGTGTTTCAACAAATTTTTAAGTAAAAATTTAAACAATCCAAAGTTTCATGTAGATATTACAGAGTTCATCTTAGCTATAAAAGTTGGTAATTGTATCCATTGTCATAAAGGTTTTGAAAGAATTAGTTGCCCATAGGAGTAATTATATTTAGAATATTAGAGACTCTAGGGCCTTGTTTATTCAAGAGTGTACTTCTCGGACAGCGGTATCAGTATCACTTGGGGTCTAATTGAAGTGTGGAATGTCAGGATCTTCCCCAAACTCATCCCATCAGAGTTTACATTTTAACAAATCCCCAGGTAACTAGAATGTATATTAAATTTTAAAAGCACTGTTAGTAGAGATGCTGCTTGAACTTGGGGCTTTTTGCTTCACTCCGAAATTAAAAGTCATTTTTAGGGAATTCCAATTCTGGTTAGATTCTGCCCCCTGCCCCACACTGCAGTCCCTTAGAACTCAGTTAAAACCAGTACAACTTACCATGGAATTCTTGGAATATAGGTCAGTCTAAACATGATTTGGATTTTTTCAAATGGCTGTGGACCAAAGACCTGCTGGCAGAAATGCTTGAAATATCTGGAAAGGAGGTAGAATGAGTACCAAATAGCATTTTGATTACCAAGAATCAGAGGCTAGAGAGACATCCTACAAAAATCAGGAAGTTCTCAGAAGTTCTCAACTAGTGTGTATCTACTATGTGGAGAGTTTGTTGTTTGTTTTAGAGACAGGGTCTCTTGTCACCCAGGCTGGAATGCAGCAGTACGATTTTGGCTCACTGCTGCCTCGATTTTTGATAGTATTTTTGCATTTTAAAGGAACGTGTGTGTTAATGACTGTTACAGAATATTGTGAAGTTAACATTCTGTAAAGATCAGGAGGTATCCAAATTCTATTACATGCTTGGTGAAAAAAATCAAAGAACATCTCTCTGTGTTGCCCAGGCTGGTTTCAAGAAATCCTCCTGCCTTGGTCTCCCAGAGTACTGGGATTAAAGGTGTGAGCCCTTATCCCTGACCTATATGGAGAGTTTAAGAGCAGGGAAAAGATAATCATTACTAGGGACTCAGGATATATCAACTCTAACACACCGGGCCTCTTGCCTTAGAGTCTTTGCTCCAACTCTTTCTCTACCTGGTTGTTCTTTCCTAGGTATTCACTCCCTTGCTTCTTTCAAGTCTTTTCTTACCTGTTATTAGAATCTATTACTTCAGCCTTTACCTACTCCCTCAATTCGTGTTACCCTGCACTACATTTTTCTCTACAGCTTTTAACATGCCATATACATTTCTTGTTATGCCTATTGCTTATTATTTGTTTTTCCACACTGCTGTGTAAACTGCATAAGGGAAGGGGTCTTTGTTCTGTTTGACATTACATGCCAGTTGCCTAGAATAGTGCCTGGCACATTGGCACATACTGGATACTCAAATTTACTTGTTGGACGAATCAGTAAACTCTGTTTTTATCTAAGTCTTTGTGAGTGTATGTGTGTGGAGGGATGTGTGTTTGTGTGTGTGAGAGAGCATGGTTTGATAATACAAAGTAGTATGAAAAATGAACAAAAAAGTAAAATATAGTGAATTACTTTTTATTGCTATTAAGAAGTAAGATTTACCTGCTTTATGGATGAATAACCATTTGCAATATTTTTTCTAAATTTAATTTTAGAGACAGTCTGTCAAATATGTCTGTTTATTTAGCTGGATTTGAGTTTAGGCCCAATATGTTATAAGGTGAGGGCAAATAGTATTTAAATGAAACAGACTAAGTTTATTATTAGGTTAATTGTATTTAGTGCAATCTGTCACAGATTATATTACCAAACTTGCTTTTGTAGCAACAAATGTGTATTAGATTCAGGACTACTCCCTAATATTTACAGTGACAGATTCTGAACCTAATATTTTTCAAAAAGGCTTTTGCTTTAATTTTTACTTTTCTTTATATTGTGTATCACTTTTTAATTTAAAGATCATTTTTATTTTATTTCATTTTTTATTTCATTTCATCTTATTTTTGCAGATAGGCTCAAGGAGAGAGCATCCTCAGATAAGAATGTAGACTCACTTTCTGCTCCACATAACCATCCTCCAGAAGATCCTTTTGGTTCTGTTCCTTTCATTTCTCATTCAGGCAAGTTACACATGCAGCATCACAAATAAAACACACAAGAACAACAGCAAAATCTTATAAAGTGGAAGTAAGACTGGCGTTAGCTACAGAAAATAGAAAATATTTTAACCTTTAGCCATCCTACTACTCTTCTTAATGATGTTCTTTGCATTGAGTTAATTATTCAGTTGTATCTTTGCCAAAATAGAAAAATGCTGATTTATATGATAGAAACATAACTGCTTCTTTTCATCTTTATTATTGGATACTATTAAAAAAATATTTAAAGATATTTTTATACTTTTGCTTAAAAATTTGATATTTTCCTAGTTTGTACATGCTCTCTTGTAGATGCATTTTAAAAGTATTAATAATTGTGTGTATGTCACAATCACTTTACTCTTTTCTTCTTACACCTTTGCTTTTGATTTCAATCCATAATTTAAATATTGATGTTTCTCACATTAACAATTTTCAGTAATAATTTCAAATTACACAGTTAACACTTGGAAGATACTGGGATGGAATAAGATTGTGCATTGGCATAAATGAATTTTCATGTATATATGATTATAGTGGAAAAAAAAGTTTTAATCTTGGCAAAGGGAAATATGTTAGAAGAAATTATGCTTTATTAGAAGGTAAAATTTTAATATATTCATGGTAACTGTCAGCCATGTTATTTAGTTCTGTTCCTTTTATTTCTCACTCAGGCAAGTTACATATGTAACATCATTTAAAAGGTACAGGAATAACAACAAAATAAAAACTTAACAAATGCAAAGCCAAAATAAGAATTGAGTATTTAGGATTTCTGCCGAGTACATTGAACAACTTTTCAACATTCAGACTTGCTTGGTTATCTGGAATATACAGGATAGTTAGCAAGATTGTTTTTCATTGCTTTCATACTCCATATTTTTCTCTTTGACATTTATTAAAAACAGTTCCTATTCTTGCTATTTTGTGCTTGCTGCTTTCAAGTTTTCCTTTTCTTAAATGACATGACATATTTAATTGGAGAACATAGCTTACTGTGTCTGTTTACTTACTCTGCATAAATGTATTCCGTTAAACTCTCAATACCCTAGGTCATGGAATTACTACTTTTTAAAATGATAATACCTCAAATAGTCTTTATAAGCTCTCAAGAACATAGTATTCAGTGACTTGAGATACTGATCTATGTGTGGCAGAAAGCAGTTTCAGTACTAGCTCTTTCACATCCTCTGGAAGGAATTGCATTATCCTTTTCAGGTTTGCATGGACCTGTGTAACTACTTCTCTGTTCTTTAATAGCATCTGAAAGAATCCTGGGGAAATGAATAGTAGTTAGGAGAACTAAAGTAAGCTTCAATGATTGGTCTTTTCTCTGGACACACTTACAATTTGAAGTTGGCCTAAAGATTTTGTAGTTTGCAACATGTTCACAGATTTGAGCTTGATTGCTGCTACTGTTTTGTCCAACTGTTTACTCTGGGCATTTATATTGGATTTTAAGCTTACTGAGGGTGGGAAGTATGAATTGTCTATCTTTGAATCCTGCCCAGTATCTACTGTTTGTTGAATGTATGAAAAAATCATGGCTATCTATAAAAATTCATATTCTTTAGATTTAGGACAGTGACCTTAAAAAATGCCTATTAATATAAATGTTACCTTTTGAAGAAATCTTTTTAAGCAATGTGAACATGAATACTGGAATGGTTTGGTTACTAAAAATTAAGTATATGGAGTGGAATAAAGGAGAGTATGGTCATAGGAGAAATGCATCTCCAGAAAAAGAAGAAAAAGTGATCACTTTGCAATATTAGCACCATTAATTTGCTATATATCAGATCTAAAATATATAATTAAGTTAAATCTAAACTACTTATTATAAAGCTTTGAAATACTTTGTCATGTATAATTTTTAGGTAAAAAAAGTAGGGACATTTTGCTTTAATAGCAAAATAATTGAACCTATTAAAACAAAAATTAACCTCCCTGTAAGCTTTTGGAATAAGGAGTTCTATCCAGTGAAAATACGCTGTACAAGAACAGAAAATCAAATACCGCATGTTCTCACTCATAGGCGGGTATTGAACAATGAGAACACCATGGACACAGGGAGGGGAGCATCACACACTGGGGTCTGTCAGAGGGAAATTGGGGAGGGACAGTGGGGGGTGGGGAGTTGGGGAGAGATAGCATGGGGAGAAATGCCAGATACAGGTGATGGGGAGGAAGGCAGCAAATCACACTGCCATGTATGTACCTATGCAACAGTCTTGCATGTTCTTCACATGTACCCCAAAACCTAAAATGCAATTTAAAAAAATACACTGTACTAGCATTGTGAGACTAAAAAAGCATCTGGAGATTTCTAGGACTAGGACTCAAGAAAGGCAAAAAAACGATTCCCAAGTATACATGTGTATGTATAATACAGAATGATAAGTATATGTGATAAACTATCTTATTTGAATTTGAGAGTTGATAATAAACAGAATTTAATTTCTAGTAAACCATATAGAGAATTCTACTTGAGAATAAAATGAATTTAATTATGCAGCAGAATGCTTATAAGAACTTAGTTAAGTTTGAAGTCTAATGATAATGTGCATTTAAGAAGAACCACTGTCCTGAATAATAAAACCACTGGTTTTATTAGGAATTGTACTCTTTTTATTTTAAAAGAAAAAGTTTCTGTTAAAACTTTTAATCTTAGCTTTGATGCCATAATAGATTAGTTTATACTTTTTCTGCAGTTTATCATAATCTTATAATTTGTAAATTAAAACTTTACTAAAGTATGTATATGTTTAAAAAGTCAGTTTTAACAAGTTTTGAAATGAAAACAACAAAAAAAAAACTTCTCTGCTATTTCTTATCTCTGCAGTTTTAAAAACGACATCTGTGGAGCTTCTATTATGGAAAATGAGATTTTTTTTTGGATTTAGATATTTTACAGTTTGTCCACCTCACATACACAACCATGCATACACACACACACACACACATGCACTCACGCACACACACACGTGTCCTTTCCTTCCATCCTTCCAGCATGTTTTTGACAGTTTTTGGTTGAATCAGTGTTCAGTGTCTACATTTTTAAAATATGTAAATATTTTGTCACCACTGAGGTTTAGTATGTATGATCACATTTCCTGTCTTTGCTTTTCCTGGAGTTAATTACTATGTTTATAATTACTATGCTTGCTTAGTTTTTATGTACCCTATCATTGATTAGTCTCCATTAAGAAGTGTAAATTTCCTCCCAGTTAAAAGTGGCTATCATTTTCATTCTTTATCACATCTCTCATGGAGCTCTGCAATCAGAATTATTTGCTTTCTAGAGCTCCCACACATTATAATTCTAATATTTTTTCCCATCAGTGTTTATGGAAATTCCTGGATCTCTTCTAGTTCTCTTTCTTGGTTTGTTATTAAAGGAACTCCTCTAGTTGTTGCTTGAGAAAATATGCATGAGAGGAAGTTTTAAGCCTTGCTGCCTAGGCTGAGTGTGGTGACTTATGCCTATAATCCCAGCATTTTGGGAGGCTGAGGTGGAGGATTGCTTGCTGGAGGCCAGGAGTTTAAGACCAGTCTGGGTGACATAGTGAGACCCCATCTCTACAAAAATAAAAATAAACTTTGCTGCCTAAAAATTTTTATTTTCCCTAAACTGATACCTGATTGATAATTTGGCTAGGCAAATAATTTTAGGTTAGATGCAATTTTCCCTGTGAGTTTTAAGAGGCACTGCTTCACAGTATTCTAGCTTCTCATATTTCTGTTGAGAAATCTAATCTTATTATCTTTCCTCATCCTTTATGTGTGAGCTGTAGTGGATTTCTTCTTCTTTTTCTTATTCCTGCTCCTCCTCTTTTTCCTCTTTTCCCTTTCTCACCCCACCATGGACATTTTTAGCATCTGTATTAACTTGTTCCAAATATTCAAGATGTTGTACCATTTTACTCATTGTGCTGGGGACCTAGTGGGCCTTATTCAGCCTGGGAGCTTATATTTTCTTGCTTTGTATCTTTTGGTAATTTTCTTTCTTCCTCTTTCTGGACTTTCTTCTTTTAAAATCAATCCTCTTACTAGGATATTGTGCCTTTTGGATTGAGCCGCTAATTTAAATTTTGTTCCGCTCTGTTTTCCAGCTCTTCATTTTTTATATTTGCATCTTAGAAAATTTATTGGCTTTATATTACAAACAATATTTCTAATTGCAAATAACATATTATTGGATGTGATATATTTTAATTTATCTGAGGATACTTTGGTTTTACACATTTTGCCACACCTTTTCTTCTCTTTTGTCTTTCACTCTAAGAGTTTCAGCAAATTACTGTAAATTATTTTGCTCCCAGCCTTTAAACTGAGACCTGGGGGATGTATACAGTGTTTCCCAGGCTTGAGAGATCCTTTAGTTTGGTACAGATTACTGAGTCTAAAATGTGATTGATAGGTGGAGGAGGATGAGACTAGTGGGAAATGCCAAACCAACCCCGAATTTCTTAGAGACACCCTAGTTGACCACAATGTCTTTTATAAAAAAAAACTGCTGTTTTCAGCTTTTAAGAGGATTTTTTATTCATGAAGGATAGCGAACTTTGGTTTTCTTTCCTTATAATCTCTTTGTCAGGCTTTTGTTTCAGAGTTATGTTCGTCTCGTAAAATGAGTTGGGAAATGTTACCTCTACTTCCATTAAGTTAGTGTTTGATGTGTATTTTTTTTTTTTTTCCCTAAATATTTAGAATTCACCTTTGAAGCAAACGGGGCTTCAAGTTATCTTTGTGGAAAGGTTTTTAATATCTTTAATAGTTATAGGGCCATTTAGATGTTCAGTTTCCTTCCATTGTAAATTTTGAAATTTGTATTTTTAAAGAAATTTGTACATTCCATCTGAGATACTGAGTTTTATTGACATGAAATTTTAAATAATGTTCCAGTATCATTCTTTTAAAACGTGGAGAATCTATACTGATATTCCTTTTTTTATACCTAATAGTAATAATGTGTATTTTAT